AGTCGGTCTAATGGCTAAGTTGGTCGATCCATCAAATGTTTTGAACAAAAAAATATACTATACGGTTAATAAAATATCATATTTTTATTTATAATATGTCATTTGTGTATGAAAACATCCATATTTGTTAAAAAAATATAAATGTCAAATGATTAGGTCTGTCTAATAACTGATTTAGTGTAGGTTGTATGTATGTAGGCAATATATTATTATTATTATTATTATTATTATTATTTACAAATAAATACACAAAGAGTAGTTGCATACAACAAAATTAAAATAATAATTATTATTATTATTTACAAATAAATTCACAAAAAGTAGTTGCATACAACAAAATTAAAATAAATAAGTTGACTTTAATGGAGGGAGGTGGAAAACAAGAGTATTTGGACCCTGTCCAACACTGAAAGTCGGTGGAAATCTGATGATACTATAATGCTTATTATTTGAGCAAAACCCCACATATATAAGGGTTGATAGTATAGTTTGTTATCTTGATTAGCAACTATTGCCCTTCTCTTTTGTTATTTATTAATTACTATTATTATTTTGAAAGGCACGTTTTTAATAGAAAAAACATATTTAATTATCGTTTTCAAATCCTGCTACATATGAGAACCACAATGAATTTCACCCGAACCGCATGAACACTGCTCCAAGCAGAAATTAACCGTTAGATCAACACACATTTTTCAGAAAACCACATTTTTTTCACATTACAATTAGATCTTTTATTGTCTAAATTGTATGATTTGATTGATCTTATACATCGAATAAATTCGCGTTTATACAATAACCACATTATCCTATACAAAGGTGCTCATCGTAAATTGCATGTGGTTGTTTTTCTAAAGAAATGGAAAAAAAGAATTAAACAAAATAAATAAATAAATAAAAGAGAGAGCTATCGACCGGACATTAGTTGAACCAAGGCCCGGTTATCATACAATGCGCCGATATCCCAATCTCCGGTTGAAGATGATAATGTCATTAGTGCCACTACAATTGATCTCATGCTTGGCCTATGTTGTGGGCTTTCATTTGTGCAAGCTTTCGCAAGATGCGCAACCTACGAAATGTTATGACAAAAAAAAAAATTGAATACAAAATAAAATGAATTCAGTCGTCTGCAAGTTCGAACCTAA